TATATATATATATATATATATATATATATATATATATATATATATATATAAATTAATAACACTTAAGATTCCAAAGATCCCTTGTGCCGCGGCATAATCTTAATTTGTGACGTCAAAAGCAAGAAAATACGCTAGAAATTCTTGCAAAATACGAAGAAATAAAAATATGTATCCATGACACTTGCAACTAATCAAGCAGATGAATAAAATAGTCTGAACACGTTTCTTTTATTCTAACAATTAGTAAATAACTATAAAATTAATGTGACGAAATCATGGGGAAATGTAGGTTAGATTGTATGTCACGTTAAGGCTATCTACAATTGCATGGTCGTTACATAAAAGCTAACCAATCCAAATGTTTTATTCACTGATTATTTATTCACTGATTTTGCTTTATTCTGATTCGTTGTCGTAATCACTTAAAACTACTCTTACACAATTGTAAGCGTCTTCTACAATGGCAGTAGGAGTAGTAGTAAAAAATAAGCAGTAAGCAAATTGATCAATTCTATTCTCACGTTTCAAAAATAATCGATTGTGATTGGTTTATTTACTTACTGCTTATTTCTTACTACTACTACTGCCATTGTAGAAGACGCTGTAGATTGGCTTTTAAGGCTCGTCTACAATACGCGGAGTAAATTTGATATAAAAGTTGGAATAAGAAATAAAAATATTTTATTTAACTTACGTCCATATACTTTAGCCTTTTTACACTGGAAGTATTTTTCTCACTTAAAATAAATACTTCCGATATATTTGTAATATTTTCTGAAGAGAAAGCATAAGCGTGAACGAAATGAATTATTTTTAATTCTTACTTCACGCTAAATTTATTCTGCGTATTGTAAACGAGCCTTTAATTTTATGGTTATTTATTCATTACACAAAGAAAAGCGTACGGACTATTTTACAGATATGCATGATCGATCGCAAGTGTCATTTTGTGGGTACGTCTTTCTTTTTAAACATATTTTGTACAATTTTTATCATGGCTGCATTCTGATATTCACTGCCAATACTGAAAATCCATAATTCACGTCACGTATCCTATAGATTTTCAGTACTAGCTGATATCGAAATGCAGTAGTTTTTCTTCTCTCTGACATCATCAATCAAAAATTCCGCAGCCAGGAGACTTTTTTGTCGTGATCAGCTTAAATCGTGATTTCAAAAGCAGGGAGAAAAAGTGTAAATTAAAAATTTTTACAAAATATATTGAAATAAAAAAATATTACTTTAAAATATGTACGAAAAATTGAGTATAAAATATCTCGTAAAAGTATATTGACATTATAATTTAAGATGGCAGTGGCAGAAAAAACAAGATTTATTAAACATATGCTTCGATATCCTGTTTAATAAATACTTAAAATGGCTATTACAATTTAAATTTTTATTTAATATTATATTTATATTATTTTATTTACAATTATTTAATAGTAATGTTAGCATAATGTGGTTTTACTATAACTTCGCATTCATATTTTATTATAAATTTATGTAAAATTATTTAAAATATTTTGACAAGAGGAATGTGACCTAGAAGTTTATCAAAGTATTTCATGAACACTTTGTATATTTTTTTATGACTGGTTTTGACTACTAATAACGTGTATTTTCTTTTTGCTTGTTTTAGTTTGGAAAATAACCAGGATTAAGATAACAATGTCTGTTAAATCCAATTGATTTCACAGATGAAGTCTGGCAGTTATCCTTCCTTGTCCTTAGATGTTGCAATTCTGAATCAATCTGCAAATTACGTTAATCATAAATTCTTTTGTAATTACTATTACTCTACAATAGTGCATCTTTTAATATTTACAATACTGAATAAATCTTGAACATGATGTTTGTAGGCGAGAGTCATGAATACGCTGCAAAGAATTTGTATAAACCAGCTGCCAGTTGTAGTGTCTCTATAAGCGACGTGTCCAGGTAAAGTAGAGTGAACTATAAGCATATCTGCATAATTTCTGATCAAGAATTTATCAGATACGATTTTATCATCGGATTTGACCTCTTCATCTTTATGAAAGACAGCATATGTATCTGTAACAAGTCTTTCATGATGTATAGCATTCTGTTCCCTGTATCCTCTAAAAACAAAAAAAATATATATATAAATAAATAATATATATTGTAATCTTGTAAATACCACTATTTTCTCGTGTATAGCATATTTATAGTTTATAATAACATTAATAACTTATAAATTTTTAATAAAGTTAGAAAATGTGATAACATAGAATGAACTAGTCATAATATTATGAGACTATAGTTACATACCTACAAAGTTGAAAAATGAAAATTTTGGGTTTATTTGCCATTTGTGGACATGCATCCACACTGAAATACTCCAAGATATCATTGCATACAACTCCTTCGGAATCTTCTTTTCCATAATCTACTCCTTGTATTTCGGAATGATGTTCTTTATTCTGTGTCCCATGACTACTTATGATCACAAAACATGAATCAACATTGCTTAGATCACTTCTTTTCGAAAACTCTCTCACTACATCTTTTATAACCTTGTAAGAAGAAATTCATCAGAATAACTTGACTTTTTGAAGAAAGGTATATCTCAAGTAAAATACAATTGCTTCACTTACTTTTCCTGTCAAATTTTGCTTTGAAATAACTTGAAAACCCATTTTTTCAAATAATTCCTTTAGATTCTCTTCATCATGTTGTGCTGAAAGTCTAGAATGTTCCTCTTTTGACCATTTGTAATCAATATTGGTAATTAATAACACTAATCCACGAGGATTGCTCCGCATGGGATATCGTGAAATGATATCAGAGTCACAATTATCTAAAAATTCTGTAGCTTTGCGTAATTTAATTTTTAAGGGTTCATCAGATTGTTGAATGTCTCGATAAAAAAAATATTCCTGAGGAGGATTTTCTTCTTTCAAATGTTGAACTCTGCAAATAGAACATTGTTTATTAAAAGAATTCTCTGTAATAATCTTATGTGTATCTATTACTCTTAAATACTTATGTTAATAATCTTAAATACCTGTTATTAATAAAAAAAATTATGTATCTATCAAGAACAAAATATCTGGTGCATACATTTCTTGTGTATACATTTTCTCTAATAATAATATCAAAGTTGATTTTTCAATGAAGTCAGTATTGTCAAAGTTAAATATTTGTCAACAGAATATGAAATCATTTAGGTCAATATTAATCAACATATAAACTAAAAATCTTATACATATTACTCATGAATATTTATCCTTATCATTAACAAGTACCAAATGAAAAATGAATAACAAATTAATACCTGTCATTTCTATCGTTATTGCTTTTCTGCTGAATTTTCCCATCCAATATATCAGCTACATCTTCATCACCAATTTGCCTCAAACTCAATAATAGACGTTCAAAAGCTTTTGGTCCTCTTGTCTTTATTCTTAAAAATATATCTTTGGCTGTACCTTGAGCAGTAAGATTCCCCTAGAACAATTATATTTGATCACTAATCTAATAGAGAATATTTGAAACAATTATCATATTAATTTTGTATCACGCATCATTAATTGTGCGATAGATAAATTAGTAAAACTTACTATCCATTTTGGAATATTTACGTCATCCGGGTTGTAAATCCGGTGTTCCAATAACTTTGGAAACAGTTTTAACATATCTATTCTTTGTACAATCTTGTCACTGTAAATGTCTATTATATCGCGATGCTTTTGTTCCATGTTGAATCTTTAACGTATAACTTTTGTTGTAACTTTGTTACGCTTCTCGTTTTCTGACAAATATCAAAATAACGATGTCTTTCGAATCAACAAGTTTTTCGAATTGAGCAGGTTGCAAGTGCAATTTGAGATTGTGCTTGCTTTTATAAATTTCTACGATTTTTACGTGTCACACACTACATACGTTTTATTAACTCTACGTTGCTTTGTGTCTGCGGCATCTGCGGTCAGCACGTTACTTTATCTTTGCAGACAAAAGATTCCTTTGTGATCTTCACTACACACATCATTTACTGTCTATACCTATCTCTCTTTTCTCACTTTTGTTCGTTCAGTTTCAGTTTCAATATTTGGCTGAAAGCACTTTGCTTTAAGTGATTCTACGCTATTGCTCCTACTTTTGTTCGTTTTTAAACTCGAAAATCTGTGGTCTGTTCTCTTTAGCTGCATTGCTACGTGGTGCAATATGTCAAAGTGAGATAAAAGTTTTGTTCGAGTTGCTTGTATTCACACTTTTACATTAAAGGGCTGATTGTTCCAACCTTTTAGTAAGCTACCTGGCAGTTAAATCATACGTTTGTCTTCGTTTTTTCTTCAAATTGAACAGAGACAGATACATGATTTAAGCTGGTAGCACATAGAAAAACTTAAGCGTAAGCAGTAAGCAAATTGACCAATCACAGTCAGGGCCGTGGAACACAGAAAAACTTAAGCAGTAAAGGTGCCAAAACATGGGAGCGTTCCAGCGTCGAGCGTTAAAGCATTAGCCAATCAACGTATCAGGTTCTAGAAGTATACTTGTAGTTCTTGCGGAAAGTGGCACGTTGATTAGCTACCGCTTTAACGCTCGACGCTCGATGCTCCCATGTAAAGGCACTTTAAGACGTAAGAAGTAAGCAAATTGACCAATCACAGTCGTTGATTCTTGGACCGTAATGGCTCTCGCAAACCAGCGCGATGCGCGACGCGACACACGATAAGCGATGAGCGATATCCAATAAGCATACTAGTATTCCGCAAAAACTGTACGCTCATTGAATATCGCGCGTCGCATATCACGTGTCGCGTCGCAAATCGCGCTGGCTGCGAGAGCCATAAGAAGAATCAATGACTGTGATTGGTCAATTTGTTTACGTCTTACTGCTTAAATTTTTCTATGTGCCATCAGCTTCAAGCGTCTTCTACAATGGCAGTAGGAGTAGTAGTAAGAAATAAGCAGTAAGTAAATAGACCAATCACAATCGATTATTTTTGAAACGTAAGAATGGAATTGGTCAATTTGCTTACTGCTTATTTCTTACTACTACTCCTACTGCCATTGTAGAAGACGCTT